GAAAGATAAATGAGAGGCGAGTTTAGGGTGGGGGAACACTTTGGGGAAGGGGAGTTGGGGGGCAGCATGCGGGAAAGGGAGAGGGGAGGTGTGTTTGGGGGGGTGTCACTATGGGGAAAGGGATTTAGGGGGCACAGAGAGCGAAATGGAAACGGGAGGTGTGTTTTCTGTGGGGGAGACACTGTGGAGAAGGATATTTGGGGCAGTGTGTGAGGAAAAGGAAGGAGGAGGTTGGTTTTGGGGGCAGTCACTGAGAGATGGGAGATGGAGTTGTGTTTTGGGGGGGTCAGTGTGGAAGGGAATTGGAATCTCTGAGGGTGTGTTTTGGGGACAGACTGTGAGGGACAGGGGAGCTGCGGACCTGCTGTGCTGGGACCCCACGGGGATGCAGAGGGAGGCTGGAGCCCTTCAGGAGGAGGGAGAAGACTCTGCAAGGGCCTCGCCAGCCCCCTGCTCCAAGCAGGGACAGCCCTGAGGGCAGGGCAGGTCACTGGGGACACCAAGGCTATGGGCAGAGGGAGCTCAGAGCAGCAGGACAGGGCGAGGGGGCAGCCCTGGCTTTGCTCCGGGGTGCTCCTGTCAGAGGATTTGAGGTGAGGGGTATCCATGTGCCCCCACAGACATCAAGGAGCACGTGAAGCAGCTGGAGAAGGCGGTGTCGGGGAAGGAGCCGCGCTACGTCCTGCGGGCGCTGCGGGCTCTGCCCTCCACCTCCCGCCGCCTCAACCCCAACGTGCTGCACAAGGCCATCCACGGCTTCTTCACCTCCAACTGCACTGTCAGGGACTTCCTGCTCGGATTCCTGGAGGAGGTAGGGGCAGGGGTGGGGAAGGGATGCCTGCCCTCACCTCTGCCCTGCTCTGGTGACACCCCAGCCCAGGGGTCCCAGCACAGGAAGGATGTGGAGCTGTAGAAGTGAATCCAGAGGGATGGAGCAGCTCAATTGTGAGGAAAGACAGGGAGAATTGGGATTGTTCAGCCTGAAGAAGAGAAGGTTTAGGGGTGACCTAACTGTGGCCTCCCAGTATCTGAAGAAACAACAGGGAAGATGAAGAGGGACTGTTTACAAGGGCTTGGAGTAACAGGACAAGAGAGAATGGCTTGCCACTGACAGAGGGCAGGATTAGATGGGATATTGGCCAGAAATTCTTCCCTGTGAGGGCAGTGAAGGACTGGAATGGATTTCTGAGGAAAGCTGTGGCTGCCCCATCCCTCAAAGTGTCCATGGCTGAGTTGGACAGGGCTTGGAGCAGCCTGGTTTAGTGGAAGGTGTCCCTGCCCATGGCAGGGTGTGGGACTGGATGAACTTGAAGGCCCCTTCAACCCAAAAAAGTCTGGGATTCCATGATTCTTTGCCTCTCCAAGGAGCCTCTGGAATACGGCAGTGGGGTTTGGGGACACTGGGGACGTGCAGCCCCTCTGCTCAGACACACATGTGAGCACGGACAGGCCCTTGCAGTCCTGGGCTGGCTCCTGTCACACCTGGAGCAGAGCTGTCTCCACACAGGGACAGCGATCCAGAATTTCTCTCTCCCCTCAGTCCATGGACACAGAAGCTGAGCTGCAGTTCCGCCCACGGACGGGGAAAGCAGCCTCAGCCCCTCTCCTGCCAGAGGTGGAGGCCTACCTGCAACTGCTGCTCGTCATCTACCTGATGAACAGCAAGAGGTACCCCGAGGTGAGACCCCTGAGCTGCCCCTGCTCCCCAGGCATCCCCTGGCTCTGCTCCACTCATCCCAGCAGTGTTCACTTGCTCCCCCCAGTTCAGCCCCACAGCCCAGGTGGT